CGAGCGCAAAGTGCTTACTTTTTATAGTCGAGGTCTTAAGTATATCTTCCGAATGACTGACAGATTTATGATATGTGAATGAGACACCAAATTTGAGGCCTTAGCGCGTCTCGTCATTGAGATATGCTCAAAACACCGCCTTAACAAACCAAACCTATTAATTAGACAAACTTATCTGCTTAGATTATTTCCCAGGTCTATTCCGGCTACCGCACGCAGTAGTACGACGGCTAACTCTAGTCCTTATCTATAATATTATTAATGGGTATACAAATACTACAACCTCATTAATCGAACACTTACCTCAGGCCCAGCTCTAAAACTAATATTACAATGCCCGATATGATCAGCTCCCATCCAAATACCTTGAGCACCACTCGTAACATGCTCGGCTTCTTGGCACCCTTTTTACCTTGCGCCTTGAAATCGGCTTCCCAGGTTCGGTAAAGCTTCTCGCCCAATTTTTCAGCTTTATGCTCACTGAGCACATCATATAGATCGTTGGGCTCCAACTTCTTTTTGCGTCCCTTGAATAAAATGGGTAGCGCAAAGCTGTAAAGATACAAAAATCTGGTAGTGAGTGACGATAAGTCCAAATAAGTCGAGCATGACTTATAGATACCCTGCAAAATATTATAGGTAATTTTACATATATGTATGTATATGTATAAAAAGTTAACAAAAAAAGAGATGTAAACTCCTTTGTATTTAAATTGCAAGAATAAATTTCGCTTTTATATATTTCTTAAATAATTATATGTTTCCTTACTTATTTTCGACATAATAAATCTGTTTATTATAATTTTTTGAAATTTTTCAAATATGAAAATTGAATAAAGTTTATAAATGAATTAAAATAAAATAAATAATCAATCTTACATTAATACATTAATTTTATTTTATTTATCTTTTTCATAATTTTTTAAATAACCAAATTGAACATCAAAAATTTGATCACGCACATGTTGTATGATTGCAGGTGATATACAAATAATAATCATTATTATCTTATCACACAAAATAGATAGTGCACTTGACAGTTAATAAAAAGATCCAGCTTGTAAAAAAAAAACATTGCATTGTAACGATAAAATATTACAAATAATAAATATTACAACACATTTATTCAAATGTAATTTATAAAACCAATTAGATTCTAATTGGGAAGCTTATATTGCAAGGCTGTCTCAGCTTACCAGAACATAACGGCAGAGAGACAGTTAGCCGTCTCTCGCGGATTGGGCGCCAGCTTATCAGCTGCCATTTCTAAACAGTTCCAATATCTGAGTAATTGAAAAAAAAAAAAATAAATAAATAAAAAATAAACACAATTTTTGCTTTATTTACAGTTACTTGTTTACACGATTTCCAATAAGCAAATCAATTGGAGTTTAGTAGGAATTCATGCGACACTGAAATAAGCATTGTAATTGAACACTTTTTGCACTATGGCCTCAAATATCGAACCGACAGCCAATTTTAAAGAATTATAAACGTTTCCAAACGTTTTCATACGTTTTGATGCACTGTTATCATCAGTTATTACAGCTATGGATGCTAATAAGCCATTTCGTCACAGCTAAGGAACACAGCATACGCGCGCAGCATACACTCAGGCATACACACACACACACACACACACACGGATGCACGCAATTAGACGCCTCCTTTTATGCAATGGCGCGTTTTTATCACTAGAATTTGCGCGTAAATATTTAGCAAAAATATACAACAATAAAAACTTTCCATTCAATAAATAAAATGTTTGTATTCACACGCATGCAAGTTTTCCGCTCGCTGCTCAAAGCACAACTGAAACTAATTTAGTCTCTTGGAATTTTAATTAACAGCTGTTCTAACAGCTGATGCCGGCACAGTTAACAGTGCTGCCACACAGTTACAAAATTTACATATATATTCTGTGAACATTAGAGTGGACCTTGTTAATATAATTTTAGATATATTAAGTGATTTCAAAATTGAATTAGTAAGTAAATTAAAGTAAAAGGAAAGTACTTTTGTAATGCAAAAAAATTATATTTATCTATATTAAAACATATATATATTAATATATGTATTAAAATATATGTGTATGTGCATAGGTTTTTTTTTAGCATTTTCAACAGTTTTTTTTTTTTAAGTTTATTTAATAATTTGTTGATTGTGTGCTCTTACTTCATGTTCTTTCTATAGATAAATCAAAGTCTTAATTCTGATTTTGGTAAATTTTTATTTTTATAAGTACATCGGTAAGTAGTTTATTGTTATATTGAAGGCACTTTGTTCCTTACAGTTTTACACTTAACATACATATACAAATATATAAACATTAACAATTCAAAATTCAATGCATAGGCACATACACAAGTACACATAAAATGTTTAGGAATATTGTATTATAAACTGGAATTGGATGAATTTATTTACAATCGAAGGACCGGCCTACACTTGAAGAAATACACCAAAGAATCTTGAATCTTACGACGATAACCTGCGAGATTGCTGTGCTGCCTCGAATGCCTAAAAATAAATTAAAATAAATATTTTAAATTTGAATCAGAATATACATTCGAGAGATTATAAAAAAAATACCTTTTTGGCCACTTGGAGCAGATTGTCGTAAGTTGCTTTACCCGTCTGCTTGACCATGTCGTGGAACACCTTGCTCTCTGCACTGGTTAATAGTTCATATGGTGCCCCGAATTCAACCACTTGGCCAGCATCCATGACGAGCACCTTATCCGAATCCATGATCGTGTGCAGCCTGTGGGCAATGGTAAGTACAGTACAGTCCTTGAACTTATTCCTGATGGTGGCCTGAATGAGTGCATCCGTTTGGGGGTCCACATTGGCGGTGGCCTCGTCCATGACCAATATACGATTCTCACGTAAAATGGCACGCGCCAAGCAAACCAATTGACGTTGGCCCACGCTGAAGTTCGTGCCGCCCTCCGTTATTTTGCTCAGCAGCCCGCTGGAGAGCTCAGCCACAACATCCTTTAGCTTCACTTCTTCCAAGGAAGACCACAGCTTGCTATCGCTATACTCATCAAAGGGATCCAGATTGTAGCGCATTGTGCCGGAGAACAAAACCGGCTCCTGGGGTATAATCGATATCTTGCTGCGCAGGTCATGCAGACCCATTGCTTGGGTGTCCCGTTTATCGATTAGAATGGAGCCATCGGTGTACGACAGACGAAACAGGGCATTAATCAAAGACGATTTGCCAGCACCTGTCCGACCCACAATGCCCACCTTCTCGCGCGCTTTGATAACGAAGTTAAGCGACTTGAGCACGTTTTCTGATTTGGGATCGGGAAAATAGCGCAAGCTGAGATCTTCAAATGCAATCTGACCGCGCTCGGGCCAGCTGGCAGGCGGTTTCTTGTCAGCCGGTGCTTCCAAAGCGCCCTCCGGTTCAATATCCTCGTATTCGACGACACGCTCCACAGCGGTCATTGTGTTCTCCAGCTCCGCCGATTGACGCATGCCCCACTGCACCATGCCCGTCATGCCCATGGCCTGGTTAATAGGTTTTAATCCAATTAGTTTGGTTTACAGAGCACATAATATTGATCCCACGTACCTGCGTTATGGCCAGACCAACTTCGCCGCCGTTGGCGGGAGGAAAGATGAAAAAGCTGAGCGTAACAATGGCAATGTAGATGACACAGAAACAGTCCAGCCAATAGCCGAAGGCACGCGATGTACTAATGAACATATAAAAGGCTGAGCTGTGAAGATTCTGGTGATTATCGAATTCGCTGATCAACACCCGCTGGGCTCCAAAGGCGCGAATGGTGGACAAGCCCGTCAGCGAGGCAGTCATGTGCGAGTAGATGGGTGAGCGAGCTGCAAAATTAAATTTAATTAGATAGAGATTCACAAAATATAAAACATAAATTGCAGTACAGTGTGATGATAATAGTTCACTGTATTAACAAATTACTTACTAATGGCCTCCAAGCGTTTAATATTCCGTGACGTTTTCAGATAGAACGTGCGCAGCTGATAGAAAATAATGCCCAACACCACGGTGGGAATGAGAAACAATGGATTCACAATGGCGATGACAATAACAATGCCACCGAGTGCTAGAAAGATTTGTATGACATCCATCATCACAGCTGGCAGTATCTCATCCACTTGACCCATATCCTTGGAGAAGCGATTCAATATACGACCCGATGGGTTCGTATTGAAAAAATACATGGCCGCACGTGTGATGCCGCGAAACATTAAATTGTGCAGCTTCGTGGATGCCTTCATGGCCAGATTGAAGAACAGAAACGAGCGGGCGAGGGTGACGGTAATGGTGGCAATGATAATCAGTGTGAATATATAGGTATCCAGCCGCTCAGCGTCCACGGACCAGCCCAACTCGTTGAGCCAACTGCTGAGACGAGATTCGAGAACATGTTCCGACTCCATTGTGATGGTGTCGTTGGCAACGCCCGAAGGAGCTGAATCAGACAAGAGGGTGCTGTTGTTATTCATGCCTCTCACGTTGCCCTTCTTGGCCACCCTGTGAATGCAAAGAGATTAAATATTTGATTGCTGCGGCATTATCTCAATACTCACCAATATGACAGAAAATAGTCGCCCAGTGAGGCCATCACCTGGGAGAGCACACAGAAGCTCGCCATGACAATGAACGCAAAGATGCCGCCGCCTGCCTTGAAGTACTTATTGTAGAGGGCCAGTCCGATGCGTCCCTGTTCCTGTGACTCCTGCACGTGCATTTGGGCAACAGTTGCCTCGTCCACACAGGAATCGGCCAGCGAGAGAAGCGATTGCTCGCTGTTCCTTCGCTTGTCGCTGGCCGAGCCCGATCTGGAGCGTGAGCGCTCCTCATTGCCATGCTCATCGCGCGACGAATCCGCTAGCATTGCAGCAAAGTCTAGACCCGATTCGCGCAGCGATTCGTATGTGCCCACAGCGCTCACTTGTCCCTTATCGAGAATGACAATCTGATCCGCATGCTGCAGGAATTGCAGCTGGTGGGTGACGAGGATTACAATTCTATCCCGTAAGAAGCCACGCATGCATTTCTCGAAGAGATGACGCGCCACATGCGGATCGACGGCGCTGAGTGGATCGTCCAGCAAATAGATGGCCGTCTGACGATAGACAGCGCGGGCCAGGCTAATGCGCGCCTTCTGTCCACCCGACAGCGAGGCACCACGTTCACCCACAATCGTCTTGTCGCCATACGGCAACAGCTCAAAGTCACGCTCCAGCGCACAGTTCTTCACCACCTGCGCATAGCGACGCCTGTCCATGGCCTGGCCAAACAGAATATTCTGTCGCACAGTACCAGTGAAGAGCCAGGGCTCCTGGGATGCATAGGAGAAGGTGCCATTCACCCGGATCTCGCCCGACTCCGCTCGCAGCTCTCCCAGTATAGCCTGAATCAAGCTGGATTTGCCAGCACCTGTGCGTCCCACAATGCCGAGCATAGTGCCCGGCTGAACACGTAAATTGACCCCATTGAGGGTGTAATCCGGTGAGCTGATATCCCACTTGGCCTTCAATGCATTGATGGAAATTTGCGCTTCGGAGAGCACGGCATTCTCATTGATGTGCGGAAGTTTTGTTGGCGTCAGCAGTTTCTCCTTGGCATCCTCTGTCTCCTGTTCTAGCTTGGAGTGAACTGTCGTCTGATTGCTACCCGGCGACACGAGGGGCGCCTCCAAGGATTTGTCCACAACATCTGTCTCCTCGTACTGCATAAAGGTTTGAACGCGCTTGACTGAAATCAATGCCTCGGCCATCTGGGAGATGCCTTGCGGAAAGAACACAGTCATGGTGGTGCGCAATATATTATAGTAAGCCGTTATCACAAAAGCCACCTCGGGCGTTAGGAATGTGCCCAGGAGCACGTAGCCGACCAGACTCAGAAAGATGGACACGCGCGTCAAGAATACGATGAAGGATAGCAGAATGCCACGTATATAGGAGACATGTCGTATAGCATTGATTTCCTTCTTGCGAGCGAATGCCACCATGGTCTCAAAGGGCAATTCCCAGGCATACATCTTGATCACCTGAATGCCAGCAATGATCTCATTCATCATCCTAACACGCTCATCTGTACGCAATGCTGTACGCAGCCGCAGCACCGACGTCTTCTTGCCCAGCCACGCCTGCAGGGGTATGAAGAGCAGCATGAATGCCACACCAAAGACGGCAGCGATTTCAATCTGAAAGGGAATTTCTATGGTATTATATAAATCATATATTGGTGAAATTCCACATCTACCTCCAAATACATGAGGTACGTGATGAACAGCGTTTGCAGCGGCCCCACCCACAGGTAATGAACAAATATTGTCGCCAAATCCAGGCGCCCCACATCGTTCGACATCAGATTCACAATGTGCCCGGCTGTCGTGTCCCCCAGAGCCGTCTTGCTTAGCCGCAACGATTTCCGATAGATCATGCTGCAAAGGGCGACGCGCATCTTCATGCCCACATGCATTGTGCCCAGCATATAGGGATGCATAATGATGACATTCAGGGCGCTGCACGCGACCACGCCCGCCGCATAGTAATAGGCGTTCTCTTTAGACTCCGCGTCGTAGGTGTAATACGAGATCAACTTCAGCAGACACAGCGGCTGTACCGTGCGCAGGCCCAGCTCCAGCATGAACAGCACCAGGCCGAGCATGCCAAAGTGGAGGCCAAAGACGCGCAACAGGGCACGCAGCAGACTTGGCTCCTGCTTCTTCTGCAGCTCCCGCTCCCAGGCATCGCACAACTCATTGCCAAGGGTTTCTGAAACAAAAATTAAAATAATAACAAATTTTTATCATTGTAAACATATTGCTTTTCATTGACTATCATACCGGCTGATGCAATCTACTGCACCCTGAAAACTTCGCCCATTGCGAAGTTTGTAAATAAACCTATTAAATCATTGTAGGCCAAGTCTTATCATCGGCAAAGTGCTACAAATTGTATCTGAAACAAACAATTCGCCAGTCAACGTCCGATTTTACATGGTGTTTTTTAAGACCTGATAAGTTCAGATCACGCAATGCTGGCGATTGTTTTAAATGGAATTCTCTTTATATTCGTATTTTCGCTGTCTACAGATCCACACAGTGACAACACTGAATGCTCTCAAAGAGGAACGCCTCGGTTATAGAGCTGACTGTTGTTTGACTTAAATGCTTTCAACTTTCTGTATGTTTGTATTTATCTGGCCTACTTTAGCTAGAGGAGTTTCTGAAGCAATATTTTTTTATGAGCAATAAATCTATCAATATTTATGAGGCAGTAGAAATAAAAAAATTTTAATATCTAAATATATATAAATATGGTATTTCCAAAATATACAAATAAAAGCTGAAGTGTTTAATTCTTAAGTTAGTCTTAGTTTTAGATTAATGTTGATATATATATATAAAAAAAAAAATATTAACTTTTAATATAAGAGTATTTAAAAATTTTAGAGCAAGTAAGCAGGAAGAACTTAAAATTAATAATACATATATAATCTATATATTTAAAATATATATGTATTTATAATCCAGTTAAAAGCTTAAAAATGATACACATATGTATATATATACAATATATATATAATTTTTTTTAATATTATACTAATTATTATATTTTCATAGACTAGTTATCGCAAATATTCATTGAATGAAATTTATTGTTTTAAATAAATATAAATATGACTTATAAATATGTAAGTATATGTTTGTCACATATCAATCATGTGACAATTTTTTATGCACAGTTTAATTGATAAGATTGATTATATGTAAATGATAGCTGATAATTGTTTCTGTTTTCATAATATGATGAAATTATGTAGTCACGTTTCATATTACATAAGAAATTAATGTCTACACTTCATAAAATAAAATGTTATTATTTAATACAATCACAGTAGACTGTATAAATTATATTTATTAAATTACAAAACTGTCTAGCTAGTAATAGCTTAATTGGCATAAAAAAATTGTCCCATAAGCTATGAATATATTTTTGGTTAAAAAGATTCTCTTAGTGCAAACAATTCCCGTGGAAAAAGTATATTAAGGCTACAAATATAATTTTGTTTAATTAGTATTATTGGGTGCATAGAAAAAAATGTTTACGAAATATAAATTCTATTATTAAAGTTACAGTCTACAATTTCATTGTTTATATTTACTCAAATGCTATATATACAAAAATGAACTGAATTTTCTTTCTTATTGTTCTAATGTAAATAAACTAACCTGATTTGTGTTCCTTCAAAGCTTTAAAGAGATCCTCAGTTTCGAGCACTTTCTTGCGTCCCTTCAGGAAGGTGGGCATGGTGTACCTGTTGGAACAATATATAAATATACATATATTTATATAAAAATAATAGTAATAAACTTCAAATTAAAGGTAACTTACCAAAAACATGCTGCCGAAATAAAATTCGCATGTTCTCGCGGGTTTTCCGGCAAATCTGCAGTTTTTATAGATTGCATTCTAACCGTTCAAGCTGAAAAACCTGATTGAGATTAAACATTAAAAAAAAAAAAAAAAACAATAAAAAAAAATTGATTTTTTTTTAAATTGCTTATTACTATTGCAATCGCATTGATTGATTCACTCACTCTCGTAACTATTTTTTAGCATTCTACACACACATACATACGTGTCTAATTACAGTTAAATGGGAGTGTGCTTTTGTATTATACGCTTTTGAGGTCAATAATTTTACACAATTATGCGAAAACAAGCATCTTACTTTGTTGCTTAAGCACACAATAAATAAATCTAAAATAAAATAAACAAATTATCTGCAAAGCCCGCCCGAATCTCCCGATTAGATGTCTGGCTGCGTGAGAATATGTGTGTTTGCAGATGTGAATTTGCGTGTGTGTGTGTCAAATTTGAATATGACTTCACTTGGTGGGCGCGCATACATACACAAAATCGTCTGTAGGGAAACAAGTGGATTCATACATATGTATGTATGTATGTACATATGCATGGGTTGACACGATTGATGCCGGCAAATGTAGTAAACATTGCAATCTTACTAACAATGAAAGTTGGTTAAAAAAAAAAACTATTTATATGCACGAACATGCCTACGTATACGTATGTATTTATACATATTTTCGAAAAAAAATTAAATAAAAGAGGTAAGTGTATATTTACAAATATATTCATGTTCGTAGAATGGCAAATGTGATAAATATTTATGATACTTAATACACAAAAATACACTAAAGTACATTTGCAAACTTCAACTCCAACGCAATTCTCACTCTGTGCCGCAGTATTCACCGACACATACAGGCATACACTTGTATATATGAGTGTATGTACATGTTTGCAGAAGCATGTACATACATATTTATTTTAAAAGAACACGCGGTTCTTGTTTTCGCTTCCCTTATGCCTCTATTTATACGTGCACTAATACACACTCATACGGACAGACACACAGGAATGCCTGTGTAGGCGCGCTTATCTTATATCCGTAATAACAGTTAGCGGAAAACTGAGTTCCTTTGCTTATTCACAAATCGCTATTAGCTATTGTTGTGCGAGATAAAGGTCTTTTTTGCAGTTCCGTATAAATTATCTAATCTCACAATGCAGTACACAAATTAATATGTAGGTATATAATAGCACATTTCAAATTAATTTAATTGTTCGATTGATGCGAATCGGAAAAAATCGCATGTACATACGTACGTTTCTGTTTGATTTTATTTAAACAATGTTCAATAAAACTCAAAAATCATTCTTTTCTATTTGTTGTTGTGAGAAACGAAAAGCAATTAAGAATGACGTAGGACAGCACAAGCGCGCAACAACAACAAAAAAAAAATGCCGAACCGTCCGCCTGAAAGGGCAGCATGCTACTGAAAAACAGCTGGCATATTGAGCTCTTTTCAACTGAATTTGCCACAGTGTGAGATATGTATGTATGTCATATACTGTACATTACATATCTACATACACCTATATCAACATGCACTTACATATGCGCATATGTAAAGTGAATTAATCAACAAGTTTATTGGTTATTGACTATTGAAAAGCATTCGTAGAACATATGTATCTCTGCTGTTGGAGAAATTAATAATATTAAAAGCGAACAGCAATCAATTTTCTTAATTCGGCCCTATGGATTATTGACATAGCACATACATATGTATGTATGTATGTACATATGGATAGGCTCACAAATTTTTCACTCTCGTTGAAAATTAATATTTTTGAAACATTATATTTTATTTATGAGTTTATATAGAAAGCTAATACTTATTCACTTTTATTTATTTGTGTACGTATGTACATATGTATGTAAGTAGTATGTGTAGATGATAATGTACCGTTTTCTTAGTTACCAACAAAATGTACCAGAGCAATAATAATGTACCATTGAAAATAATAAAGTACCTTATATTTAAACTAACTTCTTGACTTCAGTTGGGCAGTATATGTATCTAGATAAAATTTTTATTTTTTGTTTATTAATATATAAGTTTGATATTAATTATATTTGTCATATGATATATTTATTTGTATAATTGAATAATAATAGTCCTTTTACTTTGTGTGCCTTTTTAGTTTTACCACTAAATTGTAGTTTACTTTAGCAACCAAATATACTTTTGAATTTATTAAATTTTATCGTACTTATTTAGCAACTATAATCGACGAATTATATTGGTGTGTTAAATTTATCCTTTTACTTAGTAAATTATTAGATCAATATGAATTATTAAACGACATTATTTTGTCCTTGTTTAAGTAAATAGATCTGCCCCTAACAATGTATGTAAAACATGTTGTTATTAGCAACCAGCTAAAGGCCCACCCCATCCAAAGATATGAAGCAAGCATTAATATAAAATATGTAGTTTTTATTCTTACCTACAATTGATACACTTTTGTACATTTTGGAAAAATTTGTTTTTATTATTTTTTTCTGTTCTTCACGTACATTAAAAATGTATGAACTCACATTATTGAAAACTTAGGCAACAAGAGCAGAGGCGGTGCTGGACTCGTATTTCCAGTTGGGGGGCAGCACACTCTTGGTCTTGTAGTAGCGAGCCAGACGGTGAATTCTGGACTCGACCAAAATCAAACGGAATTTACCGTCCTTATCCTTACGATTGCGTTCCAAATGCTTGCGGATGGCGACAGCCTTCTTGATCATGTGGTACAGATCCTCGGGGATGTCGGGCTTGAGACCCACCGATTTCATGATGCGGAGAATCTTGTTGCCATTGACAAAGCGAACCTGAGCCACACCATGGGAATCACGCAGGATGATACCTAAAAATGAATGAATATCAAATGTATATTAACATAACCTCAAATCGTAAACAAATACAACATTCATACCGATTTTCGAGGGTGTCAGGCCTTTCTTGCCAAGCTTCTTGATCTGCTCCTTAACATCCTCAGCGTTCAGTTTCAGCCATGATGGTACTGTGCGTCTGTAGGGAAGGGCTGATTGGGATATACCCTTGCTGCAAAGTAAATTGTATTTGTTAGTTTTGCCTGTGAATGGCCAAAATGGGCGGAAGAAGAAGAGAGCGCGATTTCATTTGCAACATGTGCTTGCCATGGTGGCTTAAAATCGAATCATAACTAGCGGATTATCTGCGGCCCCAATGTTGCTATGATGTTTGCTTCCTTTGGCGCGTCAGTCAAGCACATTTTACAAAAATACACGTCTCTAAACAATATAAAAATCAACTACCCAGGAGCGTGCATACGACCCATGATGTTACTAGCTTAGTTTTTTACACCGAAAAGAAAGTGGAGACTTGTGGAACAACACTCTACAAACGAGCTCTACAAAATATATGCAGAGTTGCATTGGTATTTTTGTAAGTTGACATAATTGCTCCACACATAACAGGGGAATGGCAAACAATAACGAATTAGTTACTCGTTATGTGTATATGGACTGATTGCTTCTAGCAAATTTGTTCTAAAATCAGTTTAAAGTAATTTTTAGAATGCATAAAATACAGCAAGATAAATACAATGATAAGCTCAATAGGTTGCAAAATGAGGAGCTAGAGGTGATTATTTAAATAAAATGGTAAAGCAACAATATTAATTGTAATTTTACAGAACATAGCGCCGGGCGTTGAAATTTACCACCAGCTGATGGCGATTTATCTATATCAAAACAAATTGTGCGTGAAGCTAAAAACCCAATGCCTTGTGTGTTATTCATGAATTTTTGCTTACAGAGCCAATGCGAAATTGCTTTGGATGCGTATAGCTAATAACCTAAAGGAACAAAACAAAGAACTGGCTCAATTAAATCTATTGAATCTTGCACTGCAGCACAACAACTATGCAGATTTCTTTAAACATATTAAATACGAGTGGTCCGAGACTAATAAGCCAATCATTGATGATCTTTTGAGTAAGCACATTCAAATTAATCATGTAATTTATAATTAATATATTTCAATTATAGTCAAGCAGCGCGAGGAGCTTTTCAACCTGACGTCCACGGCTTACGTTTCAATATACGAGCACAATCTGATGGAAATGGCGCAGATGACAGCAGAGGAGCTGCAAAACGCCTGCTCAGATTGGACACGAGAACAGGATGGCGATAAGAAAATTCTGCTGCCGAAAATGAAAGAGCCTACGCCTCGTGTTGCCAGCGATGACCAGTTGTTGAAATTAACAGAGTTTGTCTCGTTTTTAGAAAATTAAAAAAGAAAATATAAATACAATTATTTTTATTTTCCGGCATTTTCTCGTCCAGCAGTCTGTTAAATGGGGGAGTAATTCTGTTTACCGGGCAAACGTTGCTGTTAACGCAAAAAGTATCGAGTAGCATCGTTCGGTCTCGTTGTGTCATTTCATAGAATCAAAAAAAAATTTTTGCACGGAATCGACATCGCATTTTCACTGGAAAATCAATCAAAGAACTTTTTTAAATTGTGGACATTTTCAAATAGATTAAAATCAATAGTGTGCGAAAGCATTTAATTATAACAGTAATTCGAAAATTCGGTGTTGGGCGTCAAGTGTATTTTGTGCTGAATAGTTAAAAAGAGGCCGATTTTTTATACTACTGTGTGAGTGAGAAAAGAAAAATGGCAGCAAGCGACAAATCTGTCGATGATTCTCTTTATCCCATTGCGGTATTAATTGACGAATTGAAAAATGAGGATGTGCAGGTTAGTTATAACGTTAATATTAAACAAATGTATACTTAGCTGTAATGTGACAATATAGGTATGTATGTATAACCATAGCCATGTACATACACACACATACACATACATATCTATGCACTAAAATGTGAATAGCAATTCGTATGTATGAGCGCGAGTATATGTACATGTGTTTGTGTGTATAGCTGCAGCTACACTTATAGGCTTGCAATGCTTATAACTTTGTTATGAGATATGTGAGTGAAGTAGGTGTAGAAATTAATAGAATATATAAGCAAATGTATATTTCTAATTAACATCAATTTGTCGATTTGTCTGATTGTCTGCTTTAAGAAAATAAACACTGAAGATCCTCAAACTATAAAATTAAGTAGATTTAATCGTAATTATAGCATATGTTATATCTATGCTAGAGTATTTATTATTCGGTACGCCAATATGAGAATGTCTTATCATATATTATTTTGTTTTGATTAATAATTTAATTATTTTTCATCTTTTCGCAGTTACGTTTGAATTCGATCAAAAAGCTATCGACTATTGCCCTTGCTTTGGGCGAGGAACGCACACGTTCCGAACTGATACCTTTTTTAACTGAGACCATATACGATGAAGATGAAGTACTGCTCGCATTGGCCGATCAATTGGGCAATTTCACAAGTATGGAAATAGTTTATTCTTATCAAATTTATATATAAATATTTGTGCATGGTATACCTTTCAGGTCTTGTGGGTGGGCCCGAGTATGCGATGTATTTGCTGCCGCCGTTGGAAAGCTTAGCCACTGTCGAGGAAACAGTTGTGCGAGACAAGGCAGTTGAATCTCTGCGCACTGTCGCTGCGGAGCACAGTGCTCTAGATTTGGAGATACATGTGGTGCCAACATTGCAGCGTTTGGTGTCTGGCGATTGGTTTACCTCGCGCACGTCGGCTTGCGGTCTATTCTCCGTGTGCTATCCACGTGTCACACAGCCCGTGAAGGCCGAATTGCGTGCAAATTTCCGGAAATTATGCCAGGACGAAACTCCAATGGTGCGACGTGCCGCAGCCAATAAATTGGGCGAATTCGCTAAGGTGGTAGAAACGGAATATCTCAAGTCGGACTTGATACCGAATTTCGTACAACTGGCGCAGGATGATCAGGACTCGGTGCGACTGCTAGCCGTCGAAGCATGTGTCAGCATTGCTCAATTGCTCCCACAGGACGATGTTGAACATGTTAGTGAAATAATTACCATTTCATATTCATATACCTTATTAATATCTAAACTCTTTGCAGCTGGTGTTGCCTACGCTGCGTCAGTGTGCTAGCGATTCATCGTGGCGTGTACGCTATATGGTTGCCGAGAAGTTTGTGGATCTACAGAAGGCTGTGGGTCCCGAGATAACACGCGTCGATTTAGTGCCCGCTTTTCAATATCTGCTCAAGGATGCCGAGGCTGAGGTGCGCGCCGCTGTGGCCACTAAAGTCAAAGACTTTTGCGCCAATCTGGACAAGGCCAATCAGATGCAAATAATTTTGAGCTCCATTTTGCCATACGTACGCGATTTGGTCAGCGATCCCAATCCACATGTGAAGTCAGCCCTCGCTTCTGTCATAATGGGCCTAAGCCCGATGCTGGGTGCGTATCAAACAGTCGAGCAGTTGTTGCCACTGTTCCTCATTCAGCTGAAGGACGAATGCCCCGAGGTGCGCCTGAATATAATCTCAAATTTGGATTGCGTCAATGATGTCATCGGTATTCAGCAGTTATCGCAGGTAAATTATTAAACTCATACAATATTTCGATAGTTTATGTTGTTTATGTTGTTTATGTTGTTATACCATTTAATTTTTTCAACAGTCCCTTCTCCCCGCCATCGTGGAGCTTGCAGAGGACTCCAAATGGCGTGTACGTCTCGCTATCATTGAGTATATGCCCGCTCTAGCTGGTCAACTGGGCCAGGAGTTCTTCGATCAGAAACTGCGCGGCCTCTGCATGGGTTGGCTGAACGACCATGTATATGCCATTCGAGAGGCCGCCACATTAAATATGAAGAAGCTGGTCGAGCAGTTTGGTGCACCCTGGGCCGAGCAGGCCATTATTCCAATGATATTAGTTATGTCGCGCAACAAGAACTATTTGCACAGTAAGCAAACACTTTAATAGGTTATTATCTATCGTTTATTAATACCGATTCTTTTAAGGAATGACCTGTCTCTTCTGTCTAAATGTTTTGGCTGAGGTTTGCGGTACAGAGATCACCACGAAACTGTTGCTGCCCACTGTTTTGCTGCTCGCCGCTGATCCAGTTGCCAATGTGCGTTTCAATGTGGCTAAGACATTGCAGAAGATTTCCCCGTTCCTGGAGGCGAGCGTAATCGATGCGCAAGTGAAGCCAACGTTGGACAAACTGAATGCTGATGCTGATGTGGATGTAAAGCATTTCGCTGCACAGGCAATTGCTGGAATAGCAGCCGGTAAGAAGGAGTAATTGACGCAGAGAAAAGTCCACAAACACGGCCCGACAATGACAATATAAGTTTTTGGCATATACTGCAAGTATAATCTATATATCAAACCCTTAGAAATGGAGCTGAATGTCTTTAGAACCGCGGTGCCGCCTTGCATGGGTTTTAAGCTTGAGGCCGCCTTGGCGTCCAAGCTGGTCGTTGAGCCGCCGCCCAACTCTGCAGCATCCGCTGAGCCTGGCGTTCTGCTCGAGCTTAATGCTAATATCGAGAAAAATGACAACAATGTTGACGCTGGGGGGGAACAGCCGCAGCCGCAGCAGCAGCTGAAAAGTGTTTCGGAATGTTAGAGGATGAGTAGTCAAAACCAGAATCATGTCATGTGTGAACACCTTGTGTTTGTGTGTGGCCAGACTAGTATATAACAATACGCAAGTCCATTGAGTCCCATCATACCGTGTTTCCAAGTGTCTCCAAATTTGTTCATATCGTATAAATTGTCTACGTTACTCGACAGAAACGAACTACTACTAATTGAATCCAAACAAATATTAACAAAATACTAATTGATGTTCATTCTTCTCTGTTTCTTTCCCGGTTCCACATTTCGAATGTTTTATGGATTGCTATTTTTCAAATACCGTAGCGTAATCAACTTTATAATTTTTTTTATTCTATTTTTAAATTGTATGTATTTCACACACGCGGGCAACAAAAATATAATTATTGTGTAGCAACACTTAAAAACGGAAACTTGTAGTTAAAAAACCAAACTATGGATCAATCAATTATGTAGAACCTGGAGACGCCAAACTGCAGCGAAGAAACATAATAAGACCCCCGAAGCCTACATATTTAACATTTTCAAAATGCAACAATCGAGCAAACGGAGGATAACGAGCCACTGAAAACGCCACACATGAAAAAATATATTACTTACATACTTATAAACTACATAACACATAAGCAAATTCATTATTAAAAAGAAAACAAAAAAACCTGTGTAGACTTTGAAAACAAAATGTATTGGTTAATCGCATCTGAATGCAAAATAAAATTTATTGTAAAAGAAAATATAACCTGATATACTCTTAATTTCAAAACATCTCATGTGTGTATATTCGATACATTGCGTTCATAAGCTAAAACAGGAATATCGTTTCGAAATCGAGTCGTGTGTCGCGCATTTGTGCCGTATATTCGGCACAAGTCTGCCACTATACTGGTTATTGTTTATTTAAAGGTTCTCATTTAGCTTTTAAAATGTAATTGGGCATTGCAAACTGAGCGCCGATTTATAACAGTTATCTACAATTATTTATTTATTTGCTGTGTCTGTCTGATGTTTGCACAACTCGATAGTCCACGGCAAAGTTGTTTTTGTATGATACTCGTTTAGCTATTTGTATGTGTGTGCGTGTGTGGCTGAGAGTGTTTGCTTTTTGCAGAGAGCAAGCGAACGAACGTGTGTGTAGAGACGAAGAGCGAAAGAGCAAGTGTGTGTTTACTAGCGCAGATCGGTCGGGCTTGTCATTGCGTTGCGACGCGTTGTACCTTAACGTACACACAGACTCAGGTTAATGAAGTTGTGCGGTCCAAAAAGAATTTTAAATTCATTGCGCGTAGGTTTCTTGGAGTGCTTGGTTAATATTTATTTCAAATTACATGTCAAATATATTGACTGATGGTTTTGCAAACACTACAGTAAATAGCGTATGTGTATGCATGTGTGCTCATGTAACTAAAGAGAAAGCCAATAAATAATTTTCTAATTCGTCGCGTATTTTTATACAAACCCATCAAAGTGCCTGATACGTGAGTGTATGTGTGCGTATGTGTTTGTATGCAAATGTAACTATGTATGTATGTCGGTTATGATTTAATTCAGAAAGTGCAATTAAGGCCACAGCACTTCAATTTATGTTACGGTATACGCTGCAGGCAAACGTGTTCATGTGACAGATCTATTTATAACAAATATTACTGCCTTCTTTTGGCCCCAGCAAGCGCCGTCTATTTATTAACTACACGGATATACGGCGGCTATCGCACTTTGAGCTCAAGTGGCGCGTTTTATTGCAACTTAAGCGCCGTCTCCATCCACCTGACCCTTCCGCTGATTAGCCAGATGTTAGTGAGTGTTTTTTTGTCTCTATGGAGCTGCTGGTGATAAATGTAATGTGAAGAGCTAGTAGTTTCTTATTCTTTTGTGTTTTCTAACGGCACCAGAAAATTTATGGCCTTACTAATACCGTTACAAGTGTAAATCAAGTGTTTGGTGCAGTTTGGTCGGCTGCGATTTTGAAATCAACAACTATACATATGTATGTATGTATATACATATGTATGTATGTATGTATGTATAGTTTCGTATTTCCAAAGTCCAACTAGAGTGAAAGGTCTATTTGTCAACATCCAATTGAAGCCAGCCAATTACATGCTGTTGTCTCTTTCGTGAATAGTTAGAGTACCTTAGACGAAGCTACTGAAGTTTCCTTGAACCAAAGACCTCATATTCTACAAACTCTTATACTATGAAATTGTAATATGAAACGAGTCATGCTCATCCGCCGAAGTGTGCGTCTACTGTATACTATTGTCCGTATTTGCTATCTTATCACAAATCCCACTTTAATTAGATTTATTCAATGTGATTCTTGTGATGGATTTTCGCTTAGTATTTATTAATCAGCGCAGTTGACTGGAAGTAGTCGACAGACCTAAGAGATATTCCGGAAATAAATATTATAATTAACAATCGAATTCTTATAATAAATAAAGCACATTTTAGAAATGTAAATATTTATGTTATCTAGATGTTTATGTTCTATTAATATTCTTTTCTTTGCAGCAAAAATATGCACAAAGCCATTAAAAATAAATCAAGTAAGTGTGCTGAAAAGTATTTCAAGTCCGAAACTTTTAATTTGAATAAAAAAAACATACCATTTTGTTCCTTGAATATGAAGAAACATTTATAATGTTATTTCAAAGAATCTAGGAGCTCACATTTAAAAGCGAAAATAGGCCCAACTAATAATTCATATATCGCAGTAGATAAACCCATAATCTTAAATGTTATGCGAGCATTGTGAAATTTTTATTATCGTTGACCGTTTTTACCTTTCCCACCCATCATCATTTGTTTTACGTAATTAAACATTTTTACTTCTATCTCTTTTGTGGTCTACTCTTTCAGGGTTATTATGTGGCCTCAAAAGCTCGAAGGCAGACTTAACGACAGCCAAATTTATATTGTACTATGGGTATGCCGTTCAGTTAACCTTTACTCTAAGCAACTAAGCTAACATACTTTAAATTATGTCAGACCCAGCGTAGCTGATAGCGATATCTATGATCTGCATGACTCCAAAAGTTTACTAGAAGATGAGCACCTAGATTTGAACAAGAATACTGTATTGTATTTGCATGGATATCTGGAGGATCCGGATGTGGAAAGTATACATGTGATTGCGGAGGCTTATCTGGAACGCAACGATACAAATCTAATTGTTCTGGATTGGGGAGAACTGGCCGATGGCAATTATATCTTTGATGCGGTCGTCAATGCCAAGCAATTGGGACCGGAACTAGCTAAAGTTCTGCTGGACATGTTCGAGCATGGCCTGGACATAGAGAAATTTCATATTGTTGGACACTCGCTGGGCGGCCAGATGGCTGGAATTATAGGCCGTGAGATCACTAGACGATCCAAAGGTGTATTGAAAATTAAAAGGTTTGTTTTGGACTTTGGTGGATACTTATATAATAATTAACATTTTTGTTTCATTTAAATAGAATTACCGGATTGGACCCTGCCTTTCCCCTCTTCTACCTCACCGCTGGTCTAGCCGCACATCTAAGCGAAAGTGATGCGGAATTCGTGGATGTCATTCACACAGATGCCTGGCTATATGGTGCACCTAGCAGCACGGGCACCGCAGACTTTTGGCCAAACGGTGGCAAGACCTTGCAGCCAGGCTGTCCGAAGCGCAATTATAAAATGCTCAGCGATAATGATTTGTCTAGTCATCGGCGCAGTTGGTGGTTCTGGGCGGAGAGCGTTTCGGATCGTTTTCCAATCAAGTTCGATGCGGTTGCAGCCAAAAGCTGGGATGATTTCAAACTAAATAAAATTATTGAATCTGAGCAACCTGTTGTCATGGGTCACAATTGTCCCACAAAGTAAGCTAAACCTATTATATTCAGGCTATATATCTAATTTATTATTTGTTTCCTTAGTATACATGGCGATTTTTACTTACAAACGAATGGCATGACGCCCTATGCTCGTGGCAAGGATGGTATAATCTATGTGGATCCCAAGGAGCTGTTGGGCAATAACAATACTTATGAAGCTTCAGTACCTGTAAAGGTAGAGCAATGATATGTGCTTATCGTATATATTCATGTATGTATTTACAGATAGCATACAGTGTGTAAAATAAATATGTTGAAGAATTTTGTTAATTGAACCTTTTATTTTTTATTCATATTAATATTAAGCATTTATATAATGTACTGATTTAGTTTAAATTAACGGTAAAGAGTTATGAATACTTTAATATAAAGTACCCTACAATTGTTAATAAATTGATTAAAAAATATTTAAAATATATTTAATTATAAAATATCGGTATTTAAAAGATGACAAAACTATCGATATCAAAGTAGATACCGATTAGAAAATCAGCCCTCGTTGCTACAATTTACGCACCACTAGTGCTTGCAAGAATATAAAGAAAATAATACATGATAGAAGCCGAATTGCTGCGTGGTTGAAAACAAACGTTTTATCAAAATGAAAATAAAATTAACGGATTCAGTTGTCCGCAGCTTTAAAGTAGCCAAAATCTTTCGCGAAAACACAGACAAAATAAATGCGATTGATTTTGCGCCGAATGGCGAGCATCTGATCTCCTGCAGCGAGGACGATCAAATTGTTATATACGATTGCGAGAAGGGCACACAATCAAGGACTGTGAATTCGAAGAAATATGGCGTCGATTTGATACATTTTACGCATGCCAACAATACGGCCATACATAGTTCAACTAAGGTCGACGACACCATACGATATCTCAGTTTGCATGACAACAAATATCTGCGCTACTTTCCCGGCCACACAAAAAAAGTGATTTCGCTGTGTATCTCGCCTGTAGAGGATACCTTTCTATCTGGTTCATTGGATAAAACGTTGCGTCTGTGGGACTTGCGCTCACCCAACTGCCAGGGACTGATGCATTTGTCGGGTCGGCCCATTGCTGCCTACGATCCAGAGGGTCTCATCTTTGCGGCCGGCGTCAATTCGGAAAGCATTAAACTATACGATCTGCGCTCCTTTGACAAGGGCCCCTTTGTCACATTTAAGCTGAACCAGGAAAAGGAGTGTGATTGGACGGGTCTGAAGTTCTCGCGCGATGGCAAAACCATCCTGATCAGCACAAATGGTTCGGTTATACGACTAGTGGACGCTTTTCATGGCACACCACTGCAAACATTCACTGGCTATCCGAACAACAAGGGCATTGCGATTGAGGCCAGCTTCAGTCCGGACTCGCAGTTCATCTTCTCCGGCAGCACCGATGGCCGTGTACATATCTGGAACGCCGACACTGGGAACAAGGTCTCCGTGCTCAATGGCGATCATCCGGGTCCAGTGCAATGTGTCCAATTCAATCCGAAGTACATGATGCTCGCCTCAGCCTGCACAAACATGGCCTTCTGGCTGCCCACTTCTGAAGAGGGTGTTTAGCTCATAGGTTCTCTCACTTTATAAAATTTTCTACTCTATTTAAGATAATTACAATTAAATATTATAAATTAGGAAAACAATTAAGTTATTGTCGTTGTTGCTCTTTATGTCGATCGTAGGCGACGCGTATATTGATGAGAAGCTGCGCCAGATTGTGTCCCATTTTGGCGCTGATACCTAGTAATTCCGGGTGCTGCAGCTGCTGCTTCAATTGCTCAAAATTACTTGCACTTGACTCCACATCCATTTTGTTTGCCACAACCAGGTGTGGACGCTTCGCCAGTCGGCCACCAAATTGTTCCAGTTCATGCATGAGCTGTTTGTACTGCGTCCACGGCTCCGGCGCGCTAGCATCCAGCACAAAGAGCAGCAAAGTGCAGCGTTCGGCATGCTTTAGGAACTGAATGCCTAATCCTTTGTTGCGATGTGCATCCGGCACAAGACCCGGCAAATCCGCAATGGTCAGCTGTACATGATCATCATATTGAACGGTGCCCAGATGGGGTCGAAGAGTTGTGAAAGCATATGGCGCCACTTTTGGCTTGGCACGCGTTAAGGCATTCAGCAGCGTACTTTTCCCGGCATTAGGAAAACCAATCAGACCTACTTCGGCCATGCTGCGTAGCTCCAGCATATAGCTCATATCCTCGCCGGCAGGTCCATACTCACACACCTTGGGCGAGGTCTCCTTGTCCGTGGTGAAGAAGCGGTTGCCCTTGCCACCTGCCCCGCCACGTGCTGCCACAAACATGAGATCTACACTTCCCAAATCGGCCACAATCACACCCTGGGCATTCCGTATGACGGTGCCAACGGGTACTTTGATCACCGTATGCTTAGCATTCTTGCCATGACATTCCTTAGCTGATCCGATGCCTCCTTCAGCTGCTTGCAGGACGCTGTTCACATGGTTAAAGTTACGCACATCATTGGAGGCTTGGAAAATGACATGGCCGCCATTCCCGCCGTCGCCGCCATCGGGGCCGGCGCGTTCGTTGCACCACAGTTGCAGAAATGACACACAGCCATCGCCTCCTTTGCCGCCTATAGCACGTACGCGTTTCGCATCCGAAAAGTATTGTGCCTGACATTGGAAATGTTTCATTTAATAGTTATGTAAACATTTATATCTTTGTATAAGTGATTTACTTCTTTTCTTGTAGACTTCCTCTTTTTGGGACGCAACGCCGTGGCTACTTGGCAATAGTTTATGTGGTTTTTCGTTAATAATTTGCTTATTAATTGAGCTGATATTGGAAATAGCGACATTTTATCATATGGTTTTATTTATGTTTCTTGCGATGCCGGCAATAATATATAGATACATATATCGATATACATATATAATTGATAATCATCGAATAAAATAAAAGGAATTCCCAACAGGAGCAATCTGTTAAGATTTTAAAAATCATTCCAATATATTTCAGATAAAGCGTGATTATCAGTTGGAATATTACGGATAAGCATACTTTCGGATTAATATTTAATTTTTGGCGTATTTCAGAAAATAAAACAAATATCAAATTAGGATATTATATTTGGCTGAACAAGTATTAAAAGGAGGCTTCGATGCGAGATTGGCTTAAAGGATAATTAACATTTAAACGAATTTACCTAATGGAGCTGTCGTGAAATCAACAGTTTGTTGAAGTGGTTCGATGATTCCTACCTGAGCTACTACTCGATACTTTTGATGAACTTAATTTATACCGGGTGATATCGATGGTCATCTAATGCTGTGCCGCAGAAGTTTGGAGCAATTTAGAAAGATGTCCGTAAGAGCTGCGCTTATAGATCTTAGCGGCACGCTCCATGTGGAGGATGAGCCAACACCTAATGCTGCCATGGCATTACATAGGTATGTCACCAGCTATAAACAGCAATGGACTTGAATAAGTACATATGTATGTATACATACACATGTATTTTGTCTTGTAGGCTGCGCAGCAGTAACATTACCGTTAAATTTGTAACAAACACCACCAAAGACTCCAAAAAGACACTTTACGAACTCTTAATCAAAATGGGCTTCCAACTGGATATTGAAGAGATTTACAGTTCTTTGAGCGCAGCTGCAGCATATGTGGAGACAGAGAAACTGAATCCCTTCTATTTGCTAACGGACGATGCACGCAAAGATTTTCCCGAAGAGGACTTGAGTCGTCCTTATGATTCGGTTGTTGTGGGCCTCGCACCCGCTGCCTTTGATTATGCCCACCTAAATAAGGCGTTCAGGTGAGAAGAGGCAATAGATATGTTTTACTGAAGCTTCATTGAGAATTCCCTTTATAGTGTGCTAATGGAGCAAAAGTCGCACAAACTTGTGGCCGTGCATCAGGGCAAATACTATAAACGTTCGGATGGCTTGGCCTTGGGACCCGGCTGCTTTGTCAAGGGATTGGAATATGCGACAGGCAAGACTGCAACGCTTATAGGCAAACCAAATAAATTCTTTTTCAACAGTGCCATACCCGACGGGTTGAGTCCCAACGAATGCATCATGATTGGCGATGTAGGATGAATTTATTTAAATATTTATTTGCGATGTGATTCACACCTACTGTTTTCAGGATGTCAACGATGACATTGCGGGCGCCATGAAGGCGGGCATGCAGGGCATCCTCGTCAAGACAGGCAAATTTTTACCAGAAGCTCTGGCAGCCATATCTCCTGCACCAACGGCTGTGGTTAAGAATTTCGCCGAGGCCGTCGACTGGATATTGTGCAGAAAGCATTAAATTGACTATTCAATGCAAAAACTGCCAGACTTTCACAAATCAGATGAATTTAACAGACGAACTAGTGTTAAACTTAAATTGGAATTTTGTAAGAGTTCAATTTATGTTCTAATAGAACCAACTAGTTATGTTTAGCTATATTTTCCGACTACATTATATATCACTGTACCTTATTGTTATCTTTCATTATGAAAAATTCAATAAGATGTATCCAATAATTTAATGTCTGACAGCAGAGCTTTCGTTTACTCTCTCAATGCTTGAAATAATTGGTTTTAAAGTTCCTTGTAGAAAGAAAATCAATTTAATAAAGACATTGCCATCAAAAATTAGTAGCTAAAATAGTATTTTATGTATCGATTGCCGAAAAACAGTTTTCTCTAATCTCCCAAAAGTCCTGCGGAAAGCATAAGCTGATTCTCAGTTATGAAATTTCAATAAAAATGTGGTTTACTTAAAGAGATTAAATTTCAACTCATTTTTTTTGCCAATAATTAGAAAAATTTTTACAAATGTTTAATATAATCGTTTATAAATAAGCACAAATCTATTTCAAATGCAGCATTTCCGACTGTTTGGAACAGTCTAAAATATTCTTGTTTTAGTTCTTTTGTGGTGAAAAAGCCTTTTGAGTATGCAAATTGTTAAAGAAAGCAGTTTAGTTCAGCTTTGCCTGGGCAAATTTGCTGGCCAATTGAACGATCTCGTCGACGCGTTCGAAATTGCCGCCCGAAGCTTGAGCGGATTCGGGCTTGCCGCCGCCTTTGCCTCCGAGCACAGGCGACACATGCTGCACCCATTCGTTGGCCTTCAAACCCTTCTCGACGGCGCTCTTGGGCACCGAGCAGAGGCAAAAGATCTTCTTGGAATCGGCATCAACCGATACGAACATGGCGGCAGCATCGGGCAATTGGGAACGCACCTGCTTCAGAGCAGCGTCCAGCGCCTTGGTGTTGTTATACGCTTCCAGTTGCTGGACCAAAACATTCGCCTTGGGATTCGCTTCACACAAAGCCTTGGCCTGCTCCACAACCGTGACGGAGACGGCGGCGCGCAGGGCACGCTCCTTATCATCGAGCGTCTTTTTCAGAGATTTAAGCAGATTGCGCATCTCATCCTTCTTTACATAAGGTATGGTTGCATGCGAGATTTGTTCGGTTAGTTCCACAATTTGCTTCACGTACAGCTTGGAGTCTTTGCCAGTCTTATCCGCCTCAATGGTGGCCTTTAACGCGCTGATCTCCTTCTCAAATCCTTCGGATTTCTTGAGAGCTTTCAATGCCTCGGGTCCAGTCAGCGCAACAATGCGTCGAATGCCCTTGGCTATGGCCTCCTCGCTGCTGATGACAAAGTCCATGATATGGCCAGAGTTACGTAGATGTGTGCCACCACAGAATTCCACAGATGTTTGTTCACCTGCCTCGGAGTCTGGCTGGGACTCGAGCTGATCGACGGGAACGCCAAAGGAGATCACACGCACCGGATCCGGATAGACTTCATCAAAGACTGAGCGGAGGCCCCGTATACGCTTGGCCAAGGCCAACTGGGATTCCTTGGCATAAATGGGCATCTCCTTGTAAACCATATCGCGGGTCAGCTGCTCTGTCTTGGCCACTTGCTCAATGGTCATGGCTGCTTTGCTGTTGAAATCAAAGCGCAGCTTCTCGGGCACGACAAGCGAACCTTTCTGCTCCGTATCCTTACCTAGCACCTGCAGCAGGCAGTGATTGAGAGCATGGGTAGCTGAGTGATTCTTCATGGTTAGCCAACGACGCTCAACATCGATATGCAGCTGCACTTCATCGCCCACGGCCAGGGTGCCCTCGACGACGCCAATGTGGAGTATGTAGCCGCCACGATTGTAAACGCGATCCACAAGAAATTCATTGGCCTCATCGTAAAGTTTGACCATTGCACCCTGATCGAAGATCTGGCCACCGCTCTCCGCATAGAAATTCGTTTTGTCCAGCACAATGCCTGCCTTCTGCCCGCTGGTAATCTCCTGCACGAATTTGTTCTCATATCGCAATGCGACGATTTTGCTGGTGCAATCGCTGAATTTGTAGGCGGAGTCGCGCTCACTGGAGACCGCTTCGTACATGTATTTAAAGGAATCGTTGGTGGGTGGCACGCCCTTCTCCTGTAGCTCCGATATGGCGTGCACATCCAGATTGATCTCATCGATCTTGCTGGCACCTTTGCCTTGCGAAAGTATATAGGAATTATGCTTGGCCGCATCGTAGCCAGCCATATCGATTTGCAGAGACTTCTCCTCGGCCATCAGCTGGGTAAGATCCACAGGAAAACCATAAGTGTCATACAAACGCCAGGCCACATCGCCGGGTATTGTCTTTTGATCGGCGCCCAGCTTTTCAATGGTGCGATTTAGCAAATTGCGACCACGTGACAACGTCTTCAGGAACTGCTGCTCCTCCTCGTTAATGATGTCCATAATGTGCTGTGGATCCTTTTTGACCTCGGGAAAGGCGTCGCCCAGCAGTTCGACAACGGTGGTCACCAGGGTGGCAAAGAAGCCTGGCTTAGCGTTCAGTTTCTCAGTAGCATAGCTGGAAAGGCATCGATATACCAATTAATATATATAAAAAATTTAGTCCGCATGCTTCACTTACCGCACAGCGCGACGCAGAATACGCCTAAGTACATAGCCTCGACCCGTATTATCGGGATTGCCGCCATCAGCCAAAGCTATGGTTATCGTGCGTGCGTGATCGGCCAGCACACGGTAAGCCATATCGATACCATCGGCATCATCGGCTCCTACACGTCCCTGGTAGGCCGGAGCACCGGTGCCCGCCTGTATGGCATCAAAGAGTGGCACAAACAAATCCGTATCATAGTTCGAGCGTTTATTCTGGATGACAGAGACCAAACGCTCGAAGCCCATGCCGCAATCGATGTGCTTCTTGGGCAGTTGCTTTAGGGAGCCGTCGGATTCGCGATTGTATTGTATGAACACCAGATTCCATATCTCCAAAACATCGGGATCATCCATATTCACCAGCTCGGGTACGCTGCGTCCGCCAATTCGATCGAAATGCAGCTCCGAGCACGGACCACACGGTCCAGTTTCACCCATTTCCCAGAAATTATCCTTCATGCTGCCGGGCAAAATGTGCTCGGGCTTCAAGCCCAGATCCAACCACATCTGCTTGCACTCCAGATCCGGTTCCAGACCGCTGGCTGCATCGCCGCCAAAATAGGTGACATATAGGCGATCCTTGGGTAGATTTAGACGGTCTGTCAGGAATTCCCATGCCCAGCTGCAGATTTCCTTCTTGAAATAGTCACCGAACGACCAATTGCCCAACATCTCGAAGAACGTGTGGTGGTACACATCCTTGCCCACATCATCCAGATCGTTGTGCTTGCCGCCAGCGCGGATACATTTCTGCGTGTTGACAACGCGCACCCATTTGGACATCTCGCTGTTGGGATCAGCGATGCCCAGGAAAATGGGCTTAAACTGATTCATGCCGGCGTTGGCAAAGAGCAGAGTGGGATCGTCCAACGGAATGGTGCTGGACGAGTGGACGTAGATGTGTTTCTGCTCCTTGAAGAAATTCAAGTAGGCATCGCGTACCTCCTTGGCGGTGAGAAACTTCATCTTGTTTTATTTTTTTCAAATTGATATTAACTGCAAGTGCATTAGGCAAAAACAGAAAGGTTAGTTTTGGCCTATTGCCACGCGACGGAAAATTGCGCTCGTATATGTAATTGTATTCAATGCAAAATGTGAAAGTGCACAAATTGTCTTTGACGTGACTAAATTGTACAAAATCTATTATTTTGTTACACTTTCACGAATTTGTTTTAATGGGATAATTTGTATATGTATTAGTTTCGCATTACTCACGTTTAGAAGAATTAAATGGAAATACAAAACAATTTCGTCAACCGACTGCAACAACGTGTAAGTTGAACCGATTCCAATGCGGCAAGTTCAGATATGAGCCAGTCAGAGATGCGCAATGTTTGAACCTGTGATTGCAATGAGCGAAGTAAGCTCCAGCATTCTTCATTCCGACAGCTCAGTTTTTATATTGCCGCACAAGCGATAGCGATTACTATGGAACTAGCATTGGAACAATAAAATATCGATAACTAAATCAACTTTACGTGAAATTGGCGCCGGATTTGCTAATCAAACATTTTTCAAGTACAACAATTATAAACAATTTATTTTCTATATTAATTAAAAGTCAAAACGTTGTGGCATATGCTGCTCCTCCACCTCATGCTCAATTTTCTTCATGCGCAGCATTATATTATAATTCTGCGTCTCCTCCTTGCCCGTCAGGTACATAGTTAAAAATACCTGTATCGCAATGATGGTGGAAAGGGCAGGAATAATAGGGCGTGTTAGCTTTCGATACAGCATAAACACTTCCCGTGGATTTTCCGTTACAGAAGGCAATCGATAGGTATAGCATCTGCTGGCAAACATAAAGGCGGCGAAGGGAGCCAAAATCGTGGGATAGACCGCGCCCAATGCCGTTTGGATGGCAGCGCTGCGGACCTGCGTACACACGGGACACTCAGCTAAAGGCCTCAACAGCAGAGGACTCTGTATAAAGAATTTATGTGTCAGCATTGTGAAGATCGCTGGCACGACCACAATGGGCAAATAGGTGGAAAGACGACCATGGGCACCCAAATGTAAGCGTCTGCGGTAATGATTATTGACGTAGGCGCCCGTTGCGGCCGCCATGGCGCTGAGTATGCCGGGCGCATAGCGCAGGGACCATCTATACAAATATAATCAGGGTATCAGCGGTTAGATAAGCGGCTTGAATTTTGTACGCACACTTCTCCGATTTTGTCCCAGGATGTTATGATCTTCCACTGGTATCGCAGCGCTTGGTCTTCTGAAATGATGACTGCATCACTTGGCAGTTCATCAGCTCGAGCTCGCGATAGGGCCATAGTTTAATTTATAATCAAAATAGAATTTGTATTAACAGCAGAAAGAAACTAAAACAGCAGAATGAAACTAAAACAGCTGTTCGGCAATGCGGTGGCAGTGTGGTAAAACGTTGACATCGTTACTCAGATGTTGTTCATCCCAGTGCTGTAGAGCATCAAATTTACTGTCAGCACCATTGTAGACATTTGAAAACTAAACCAAATTCGTTTTGTAAAAAAGAAAAAATTAAATAAAAATACAAAATGCCGCACAAGCGCAAAACACGTTTGCAGTATAATCCAAAACAAGTGTCACGCCGGGTGCAGCTAGCATCATCAGCGCCAAACGTTTGCGTTAAAGCCCACAATGGCGCCACCGACGAGAACTTTATGCCGCCAGAAGAAGAGAAGGTGGAAAAGGCACTCATAGTTCCTCAAGAGACTCCGCCCAATAAGTTTGCGGTACCACAGTTTAATACCATGGTGCGCACCCAGGTTGAGGTCAATACAGTTCGGAATATGCGCGTCGATCTTCAAGTAGATCTAACGCCACGCACCAAGGCGTCTATTGCACCCAAGGTAAATCGAGTATACAAACAGTTTATGAATATCTATATATATGTTCAAATTTAGGCTGTCAAGAAGCTAAACTTTCCATCAACACAAACAGTATTTAAGGACTTGATACCCATCAACGTGAATGATTCGTTGCGTGAAGTGGAGCGACCGAGAACTACAAAGCCTCGGGATTCCAACAAATGTAATGTGGCTGAACCAATACTTACAGACTATCTAGAGAAGATTGAGTATGTGCAGCTTTTTATGCCCGAACCGGAGTTGAATATGAATTTTACATTCGATGAATTTGATTTCTTGCGTGCCTATACGAATTGCTATCGCTACCCATAGACAAAAAAGAATCATTTTGTTTGTTATTTTAAGTTATACATTTAATTATTCCGATAAATGAATGGATTTTAGCAGCGTAAATCACTTATGTGTTTGATTTATCCAATAAAGTTCATGACTACTAAAAAGAGAATAACATGCGCGAATATGAAGTCGGCGAAGCCACGTTCCGGTGAGATGCCTGAAAAGACGGCTTTATTTTGTGGATTTGCCTGCAGGCGCAGACAAACGGCCAGCACAAAGCAGCTGACGGTGCTGATGAAGCCGGAGAGGAATGAATTGAAGGGAAATGTGCCCACCAAGACGCAGTAAACAAATTGTATGATGCCGGTTAGCAGAATGTAGCCCAAGTAGATATCCACGAGTTTTAGCTTTTTCGGTGTGTTCTGCACGTAGTCGTTGTAGAACTTGGAAATTACGGAGCTGATTTCAACCATTTTAATGCTTTATTTTAATTTCTTTACGGCAATATTCAATTTATTTTGTTATTAATTTGCTCGAAGAATGGCAGACACGTCACGTAAAACGCCTGGAAACTAGTGCTGGAGAACGCCAGCAAATTAGGCGTGGCGCTGTGAATGGCATGCATGGCTCGAATGTCTGCGCAAAGAAGAAGCAGACCAAGAGTTTTGGTTTTGTTTTGTTTGTGGTCGCGTCATCATTGGCACTAACGAGGTATTGATAATTTCTGTGTTACCTGTGAAACGTTCGTATGGCAACGCATTAGCAAACTGAGTCAACGTTCATTCATTGAAGTGTAATTCAATACTGCAATGTTGCACACTCTGCTGCAGGTGTGTGTATGTGTGTGTCTGCGAATTGTGCAATATAAATCCGAGTGGCTAGCAAACAACAACAACGAAACATATGCAAAGAAATCTGCACGCTTGATCTACACACATACATTCATACATTCATATGTTTTTGTTTGCGATTAATCAAATGACATTTAAAAACAAGTAATAACAAATGTTCTTTGTTCAACAGGAATTGTGCTAAATTCTACGCCGTGACCTTCGCTGCGCCACATTCATTGCCAGTGTCAGCAGCGCATAAAAGAAGGAACAAAAACCAACAACAACAAAGACAAGTGAAAGCAAGAAAATCAATGGAAGACTTAACCCCATTGACCAACCTTCAACAGGTATGTGGAAAATAGTTGGTATACCAACTACCATTAATTTCAGTTAATTTTCATTTGTTTCTCCTTACAGTTTTAGTTGAACGTTATTTATATGTTTTCTTAACTGCCAGCGCAATCAACACGCGCCAACTGCCCGCATATCCATTTACTACAGTATCTAGATAACTTATCTAGAATTTTTATTTGTAAGTGTTTTTCTTTTTATTTGAATGATATGTCGTCTAAGTTGCACAACTGAGCTTTTTGTATTTTGAGCTACTGGGAAACATGAGTGCCTGGTACGTGCCACAGTCTCAGTCTGTTTGTGGGTCTGGGTCTTGGTTGGGGTCTGGCTTTGGGTCTAGGTCGGGGTCCGTGTCTGGGTCTGGGTTTGGTTCTGGTTGTGTTCCCGGTTCTAGGTCAACTAGTTTTTAATTGCTTATTGAGGTATTAGTTGTCGTTATCTTTTGGTATAGCTTTGTATGCTATCTCTTACGCAGAAATCAATTCAACAAAAAATTATTTATAACGAAACATTTTATCAATTTATTGTTTTTTAATCTGCAATAGTATAATTAAAAATCTATAAAACTATATAAAGCCTAATTCATAATTTTGAATTAAAAAGTAAATTAATAGATCTTCCATCTATTTAATTTTTATTTTGCTATAACCAATTTTTTCTTTAAGCTGCGAAGTTAATCCCTCTTAGGTGTAAACAAACGATCATTGAATTCGTCTCAGAGCATGCATATTTGTTTATTTTCTTTTGACACAGTTAGATAATTTAATAACCAAGCCTTAAAGAGCTTAGTGTATATCATAGTGATTATAAACAGCATTTAAAAAAGCAAAGTCTACCAGACGGGATAAGATAATCACATAGAACAAATCTGAACAACTTCTTTTGTATGTCCATTATGTAGTTTATATATATGTATTTAGTATTTGTGGGCGTATCAATGGCCTGATATTTATTTCATTCACACGCATTTCGACATGGTGAGATTTGACAGACCATATAAAATTTATATATATGAAATAAATAAATAATGAATGCTTATCGCCATGCGGCTCGTTTTCGTGCCTGAGCCCCCACGTTAGAACCAAAATCAAATGAGTCACTGGACTCCTCGATTTGATATCATTTTATGAATAATATGCATACATATATTTTTCATTATATGCAATCAAGTCGAGCTTGCAACTGATCAAGTCCAAGTCCAAGGCTTATATTCATATCAGCCCATTATAGTTGCACTCTGAAAACTTTCCACTTCCACTTCTCCTTCCATATCCCTTATCATGCACACATAATCCGACCGTTGTCCGAGTTTCCGTAGAAAATCTGAGTCAGCGGAAAATTTGCCAGACCGAAGAGCGGCATTTACAGCGTTTCTGTTTTCAGTGTGACTTCAGCTGGCGAGGCGAGCGCATCAACTACCCGCATTCTCTCTCTGCCTTTACTCAAACACATACACAAGCCCACATCCATCAGCTCTCATAGAGTGCTCTATTGTCTTGTCGGCTCTCTTTCTCTGACTCAATTGATCTTCCAGCTTGCCGAGCCCGCCAAGCGCAAGCCGAAGATGTCCGAGCGACAGCCGCTGCTGCTGCAGCAAAGCGACAATTCCGATTATGAGGGCAGTCGCAGCGGAAACGGCTTAATCCGACCGCCGGTACGCAGCTCACCGCCGGACAGTACGCTGGTCAATGTGCACAGCGAGGACAGCATCGCAGGTAAGTTTCCATTGTATTTCCTATGCTCAAATGACATTTGCTTAAAGTTGGCACTAGAAGTTGAATTTACAACAGTATAAGAGTTGAGCCTTAAAATAAAATAGGAGAGTTAAATTTGATATTTAATTATAAATATTATTGTGTTTATTTTATAATAATATACACTATTTATAAATAAAAGCAATACATAAAAATTTTAGTAATATTTTATAGAGCGATGATGACATTAGCTTAAAGTTACGTAGAATTTAATATTAATATTTGTATATATAAATATTCACTTAAAACACTTTGTTTTTGGTAAAGTTTTCCAACTTTTTGGATTAGTTCTAGTATAATATTATATTTGTTCATTAATGTGCCAATATTTGTAGACAACATGTTCTATTTCGTAATCGATGACTTTGTTTGCTATATATAAATACGATTTTTGATAAGAATCATAATTAATGGGCATGAACGTCAAACGTTTTTCCTAGAGTGAGAGAGATATGATAAAGCCAGCGGAAGAGATATATAATATAGATTAACATCTATTGATTATGATAGGTATGTTACATTAATCTATATTTTACATGATTTCTAGTTTATGTAAACTGTAGAAGCGAGAAACGTATTTATTTGTTTATTAAAAAGTTAAATAGAGGTAAACCTACTGAGGCCTTCGGCTTACGGAGCTAATATCAAGCATTTAAATACTTTATACTTTATAAAAAATGATTCAAATGCCAATTTAAGCAAATGTGTTTATTGCTGGAGAGAATTAAGAAATGCAATAAAATATATATATTAAATAAATATTAATAAATAATTCATTTGCTAACACAGTGCACGCTGCAGCCGCCGGAGATGATGATGACGAGCAGAGCAGCCAGACGGGCGAGGAGCAGCAGGGCAAGTCGCTCTACAATCCCACACATCATCGCGCACTCGAGCATCCCACATCGAACTTTGATACGTTGGTGCATCTGCTGAAAGGCAACATTGGTACGGGTATATTGGCCATGCCGGAGGCATTCAAGAACGCCGGCCTCTATGTGGGTCTCTTTGGCACCCTGATCATGGGCGCCATTTGCACGCATTGCATGCACATGCTGGTCAATTGCTCGCATGAGCTGTGCCGACGGCTGCAGCAGCCGTCTTTGGACTTTTCGGAGGTGGCTTTCTGTAGTTTCGACACGGGTCCATTGGGACTGAGACGCTACTCGCACTTGGCGCGACGTGTTGTGACCACGTTTCTGTTCATCACACAGATTGGCTTCTGCTGTGTCTACTTTCTGTTCGTGGCGCTCAACATTAAGGATGTGATGGATCACTATTTTAAGCTGGATGTACGCATCTACTTGCTGTTGATGCTCTTGCCCATGGTGCTGTTGAATTTGGTGCGCAACCTTAAGTACCTGACCCCAGTCTCTCTGATTGCGGCCGTGTTGACGGTGGCCGGCTTAGCCATTAGCTTTTCGTATATGCTGCACGATTTGCCCGACACGCACACGGTTAAGCCGTACGCCACCTGGGCCACATTGCCGCTATACTTTGGCACGGCGATCTATGCCTTCGAGGGCATTGGCGTGGTGCTCCCGTTGGAGAATAATATGCGCACACCCGAAGACTTTGGCGGCACAACTGGAGTTCTCAACACGGGCATGGTCATTGTGGCCTGTCTGTACACCTCCGTTGGGTTCTTTGGCTACTTGAAGTACGGCGAGAGTGTCAAGGGCAGCATTACGCTCAATTTGCCTCAGGGTGATGTGTAAGTAAAGATATATAATTGATCATATATATGTATATATCAATGATTAACCGATGTTCTTCCCCCCCACACAGTCTATCGCAATTGGTACGCATATCCATGGCCGTGGCTATATTTCTGTCGTATACTCTACAATTTTATGTGCCTGTCAATATGGTGGAGCCTTTTGTGCGCAGCAACTTTGATACGACGCGCGCTAAGGATTTGGCAGCAACGGTGCTACGCACAGTGTTGGTCACATTTACCTGTAAGTCAAGCTCTAGCGCATTTCCATATATTCTTCTTCCTAATTTGTGAATAATTTCATCTATCTATCATTATCTATTCATCTATCTGCTGCTGGTTACACTAATTTCATTACGCATGGCCTACTTATTTATTTAAAAATATTGCACACTCATTTGCTTTACTATTTGTATATATATTTCATTAAAAAAGAACTTTAAAATTATGGCGTGGTAGCTACATCGTTAGATCAATATATATTATTATATATACATTTGGTGTTCTTCAGAAATGAGCTGTAAATCGATATTTATTATTATATTTTTATAATACCAATTTGTTTATATATTGCACCATATATATACTTACATCAATTGGAAAAAAAAGTCTGCCTCATTGGGAATAAATATTTATATATTGTTTATTTATGTATATATAGTATAATCTTTTCGTATAAATTTTAGCGTTGCAATTTAAATTTGCATGAAATGCATACTTTTTTCCCTATCAAAATACAAAAAAAAAAAAAAAAAAAAAATTACTCTCATTCTATGTATGTACAGACTTTTTCTATTTGCATTTTCTATATACTTTTTTCACTTCATTGCCTTTTGGATTTTCTCTGGGTTTGTTGAATTATAATGCTTTCCTTATTCACTTTGCTGTTTTGTTAAATGTTAAATGAATGAAAGATTTCACCTTCCTTTACTTCCTACAAATTTCATATTAACATATTTAATATATTTCGAATTTAATATATACATTTCGACTCTTCTCATTCGCTCTCTGTTCTCTCTCATTTCTCTAATGCTTCTTTCATGGTATATATTTTTCTTTCTTTTCAATGTTTTGTTCACCTTCTATTGTCTTCTATTTTCTATGCAAGAGGAGAATATGTCTAATTTTCGAGTCGTTCTCTATTTTAGTTATTTTGGCCGCCGTCATACCCAATCTGGGCTCGATTATCTCGCTCGTCGGCGCCGTCAGCAGCTCAGCGTTGGCGCTCATTGCGCCGCCCATTATTGAGATGATAACCTACTACAATGTGGGCTATGGCCGCTATAACTGGATGCTGTGGAAGGATTTTCTCATATTGATATTTGGTCTGTGCGGCTTTGTGTTTGGCACCTGGGCCAGCGTGGCTCAAATTTTAAATCCGAGCATAGACTAGATAGATGCCCTCTCCAATAATTTTGATGATCGTGTGCGAATTTACGACAAAGGCTTTACTGTAGTTTCCTTTTTTTTTTAGACAACAACTCTACGATAAGTTTTTCGTTTATATATAGGTTTTTAGTTTGCAATTTTTGTCTAGGTTTTTGCTTTTGACGTTGACGTCGCCAGGTGCTTTGACTCAGATACGATTTTAAACTCTTTATTTAAGCCGATTTTATTTATAATAATGAGCGTTCAGTACCAGACAATAATTAGCATTTTCCTAAGGCCAAAAAACAATTGTGGTTGAATTTAGTGTATATTTTCCGTTTTGTTTTATGTCCAGTTTAGTTAAGTTTAAAGTTTGTTCTCGATGATCGCACAATGCCAAAAAAGTGATTTCGTATAGTATTTCTAAACAATGTTTTGTTTAGTTTTAACTGTTTAGGGATTTTAGTTGAAGGTCATTCCAAATGCCAATGGCCGTTAATAAATTGTGTTTGAAGAGCTCGTTATAAATGTTGTGTGTGAGTTGCACATCATTCCCTGTACTATATGATATACGATACACAATATATATGTAGCGGTTCTGTTATACATCACACAATCCTAGCTATATATGCCGTGAAATATGCCTAGCTTGTGAGAAACAATCTCAAAATATTGATATATATGTATTCTACGTACTATATGTATTTCTGGATAATTGGCATTAACAAAGAGCTCGGCACATTTCACACTATTAATATATCCGTATATATAAATCTTCTCTATATATATATATTTCCATTCATAAATGCCAGAGAATTGGCTTTTCAATCTCTGTTATTTATGGATAGCTCATGTAATTACATTACAATTTTGAACCAATACCTAATGACAATAATAAATGGCGTTTAAAGTTTGTAAAAATCCATATTAAAAAAGACAAAAAAATGATACTGTTTACCTTTATTTTATTCTCAACTGGACTGTGCCCTCTTTATAGATACGTTTTCGTTTTATCAAATGAATAGAAAGTTGCGAAACGTTCAAACTGTCAAAACAAACAGATTTAATGGCATTTACGTGGAAGTAAATAAGATCTGTTATCTTCGATTATACGTAAGCATAATTGGGCTTAACGGACGGACCATGTCGTCATATAACTGATATAGAGTTCATATCTGTGCCGGTTTTTTTTAGGAACTAGAATAAAATTATTGAATGCAGTCATAAATTGACATGGGGAATTCGAAAACAGTCTAGAGATCTATCAAATAATAACTGCTGATTTTGATTGATTTTTCATATATTATAATATATTATATATAGCTTATATATGTTATAAATGAAATTTTCTGCATTTGTCATTTATTTCTGACCTATATTTAGTAATTTATGTGATTTTGAAAGCTAACTTAAAATATTGATCATTTATCTACAATCACCTTGTATTTGCCTCTCAGCCAGCACATTTTCTGTTATAATTCCCAACTGTTTATTCGCCGAACTGCGCATATAAAACGGGGGTTCAGCTGCGCGCTCATTTGTGTTGTTTGGAAGGAGAGCAAGTTAGCACTCCCCTAGACAAGGATGGAACACACAAACGAACGGCTAGGCACAAGACGATGCCGTTCACAAGTTTTTTTTTTATTTTTATTTTTATATAGTTAAATGTAATTAAATGTATATCAATTAAATATATTCTTGAGTAGTTGCTGTAGTTGAAGTTGAAGCTGTCATATGAACTATCGATTAGAAATTGTGTTTTTTACTAAAAACTTTTAAATGAGTCAAAGTATGGTGTCAAAAATTTCCGTATATATGTTCAACAGAGCTTCCTTTGTCTTCTAAAAATAAGGCTAGAATTAGAATACTTAATCATAAAGACAATATATAAAGAATCGGTCTAAAATTTAATTCAATTACGCGAAAGATTTCTGTTTTATTATTTTTTTTTTTATTTGCAATCAAAGTTTCCGCAGCTGAAAGAACTTAGGCAGATTCTGGGCATACCGGATACCACTGCCATTGGCTCCAGGGAATGCATTCAGATGAGACTGGATCGTAGCCGAGCCCGATGTCGCAAATGACAACGGTTGGGGTGTTGCCCTCGCAGACCCAGTAGCGTGTGGGATCCCAGTTGTTGCGATATCTGGTGGTGCTGGTGCCGGAGCAGTTGGGTATTCCATTGCCATCTGGATCGCAATCGGCGTGGATGGCCACCGCGAACAGAGCCAGACAGAGTAGAATCAGAGCTAGCCAAATAGAAATACAATATATGGTGTACAAATATGTATAGATGTGGGATTTTTGGTGAACTTACCAGCTTTCATATTTTTGGTTATTGCCAGTGAAGCGAATGCCACCAAATGTGTTCAATAAGTTGAATTGGCGCAGCTTATATACCCACACGATGGCCCTGATATCTGTCCCGGCTGTATAATTATACTAGTTCTTTACGAATATAACTTATCTATTCGATGTTAGGTTCTTGTTTGTTGTGCGACATCGAATGCCTGAATGATCGTACTCGTGCATTGATAACTCCGGTACGACATGGAAACCTTCGAAATTAATCTTTTCGCGATTCTAAATCTATATGCACTATCTAGACACTAATTTGATGATTGGTAAATCTGTTCTTGAGTTTGGCTAATCGCAATTCGTCGTATTTATGGGTAATGAAAGTATTAATAGACATTATTTGAAGTGCTTGAGTAACCCATTTTAGGAGTATGCATCGTAAATTCTTAAAAAAGTGAATACTTCTGCAACATATATGAATGAGGATTGTGCAATATAATATATTATTTAATGTATAATATAAAAGCCAAAGTAGAAAATATATAGTTCAAGTAAATGTCTAAATTGTCAGTATAAAATATTTTACTTTGAATAATTGGAAAAAGAAAAAAAAAGTCAAACAAAAAAGTTTGTTCAATTGTCAAGTTAGGAGATATATCATTGGCCTCTACTCCATCGCTGACATCGAGGAATGGACGAATTCGCTGATGTGGAAAAATCGTTGCGTTGGTATCGCAACATGTCCGAGGAGCAGCTCCAGGCATGCGATGCACTGTTGTATGCCCTGCGCGACGATATTGATGAGCACACAACGTATCGGGTGGAGGAGTGCCTCAAGCTGCTGGGCCTGTATCCGTGTCCCAGCTCGAAGCAGCTGAAGCTCATCGTAAACATAAGTCGAGGCAGTGACTTGGCGTTCCTCTGGTTTCTGTGGGAGGCGTACTACAAGGAGCGGCGTCCCTCTGATTCGGTGACACAGACATACAGATGCAATGAGCAGCTCCTGTTGACGGGCATCGCCCATCTGGACATGGCGATGACTAAGCGAGGCCTAGACAAGATCTTGCCATTGCCGGAGCATGGGAAAAAGTATCAGCAGCGTCTGCGCCGCCATCAGGAGAAGCTGGCCCGGAAGGAGAGGAGACAGGCGCAGCAGCGGCTGTGTCGACTCAATGAGCCGGCCGATGATTCGCCATACATGAAGCCGCAGGTGCGACCCAGGCGCTTCGTACCCCTGGCCAAGGCATTCGACCCCAATGAGCGTAAGCAGCCCTCCAGTGCCAACGATATACCCAACGAGCAGACCCGTTGGTTCGCCGACTACGAATTGTCGCCGATCAAGCGCGAGGTCAAGAAATGCCTATTGCAAGCGATCGATCAGGTCTTTGGCAAGGAGCACAGAACAGAGGATAAATCGCTGTGCAATGTGCATCGCATGGTGCAACGCGACCTCGTCCGAAAGCAATATGAGCTGACCACAGATGCACTGCATCGCTGCCTGGAAATGGTGGAAGTGCAGAGCCGGGCGAAGCGCGTGCGCAGGGAACGCATCGTGCGTCAATTGGAGCGCGAGGTCATGCAGGCCGCCAAGAAATTGGAGATGCACCGCATGCAGCAGCTGATGAAGGTGCAGAAGTCGATGCGCGAGGAAGCCCATTCGTGCAAGGGTCACTGCAAAATGTGTGTGCAGCTGGTCGCAATGCCGGAGACGATCAGCCCGACGGATGCCAAGGAGGGCGGCTGCATTTTGCCCCTGCTAATGGCAAGTCAATCGAACAGCGCCATATCGTACGGTCATCCGGCGCCCCATCCGAAGGATCTGAACAGCATACACGTCATGACAATGGGCAAGGAGCACGAGCACAAGACCATTCAGCTGCTAAGGGACGACAGCTACAGCTGTCCGGGGCCACCGGCTAAGCCAGTGGTGCAGCCAGTGGTGCAGCCAGTGGTGCAGCCAGTGGTGCAGCCAGAGGTATGCCTGAGGCCAGCGCCCAAAGTGGTTGAGGATGTTGCTCCGGAGGTGCCGTCGACGGGCTCGTCCAGTTCGCAAGGAGACGAGCATTGCTTCCGGCGTTGCATGCCCACCGGCTGGCTGGCCTGGAACTTCTTTCGGATCTATGGACCTGCGGCTCAACAATCCGCGGCGGATCTGAGGTACACCGATCCGCAGCCGATAATACGCAGCTATTGCGTGGCGGCGCTGCAGAAGGCCATGGAGGGCGAAAAGGAGAGGCAGGCGGCGAAGATCTATGGCAAGAAGTATATGGAGCGGATTCTCTGGCAGCAGCGGCACGTCTCCAGCGTGGCACTCGAAGCCGCCGTGAAGAGTGCACGGCAAGCGTTTCGCGCTGGCCTGGCAGAGCCTGTGGAGTCTCCTCCGCCTCCGCGTGATTCATCGGAGCGTTTGCAAGTGACCAATATCGATCCGGAGAATCGTAAAGAGCTGTCGGAGCTGCTCAACAGCGCAATGGACATCCTGAGGAATGATTCACGCTATGTGCTCGTCACCCTGCCCAATGCCCACAAGATGCCGGAGCTGTTGGACTGGGTGGCGCGGCGCTACGGCAAGGTCATCAGGCATGATGCAATGCCCACGCTGACAACGAAACAAGTGCTCGCCCTGCTGAAAGCTTATCGGCCCCTTGAACAGTTTCCCAAGCCCAACGACGTCGAATTCCGCTGTACACCCGACGCCGACTGCGACGATAAGACGTTCCTATGCCGGTTTGAGCAAATGCGCAAAGACTATCACAATCGATTGAATGAGCAGGATCTGCAGGATTCACGCATCACTTGGCTCGCCTTGCGCAACTATGCCCAGAGGCCGATCATACATCCGAAGACCTACTTTTCCTATATACCGTCCAGCCAGAGGGACTTCACACGGCGCAATCTCTGGCTATCGTTCCAGTTCCGTCCCCTCGACTCGTTGCGCAAAGGTCCCTTTCACAAGTGAATTTATTTACTGCAGACACTGTCCCCGCTGCAATGTCGCATAAATTGCGGCTGGCTGGCGCATCCTCCCCCCACGCCCACAATTTGTGCGACATTGCAACGGGGTCGGACTCCGCCTTAAAGCCATTTTCATTTCATTTCATTTAATTGCAATACAATTTGTTCTTTATCTCGACAATTTTTGTTTGTTATTATACCAGATATCTGACTATATCTGTGATTTATTTACATGGGAAACTTAATGTCTTAAGCCAGAATTGGCCTAAAATTTGTAGTTCAATAATTATCTGTAAAAAAAGACTCGAGAGAAGAAGAAAGGCAAAGGCAAAGGCATCAAAAGCTAATTTTTTAAAGAGGGTGTTGGGTAGCTGTTCCGCAAATTAAACAGTCAAAAGATGTTTAGACGATGAGTCAACTGTTTTTAAACATATATCAAATATATGTGAGAAATTTCTACTTAGAGATGTTTTAAAGACATTTTTTATTTTTTTTTGTGGTACTGAACCGGAAAGCAGCTTGAGTTATCTAACGAAATGTCAGTGAACTGACTGCTGGTTAGAGTTGATTGGATCTTTTGATCTGACTCTCTGTCTCTCTCTCACTCTTTCTCTCTCTCTCTCTCTCAAAAGAGAGTAATGCTTAAAAGAGTAATGCTCTCTTTGTATTTCTTACACTCTTTTGTTTCTCATACTCTCTTACTTTTTGCGTTTCTTCTTTCTCTACCTGGCACAGTCTCTCTCTCTTGGTATCGTTATCTTACTTTCTTTCTAACTTACTCTGTCAGTTTCCTATTATCTTTTTCTCTCTCAGTTTCCTTCTCTCTCTCTCTAAGTTTTCTTATTCTTATATATCTCTCTCTCTCTCTCTATATATATATCTCTCTATCTGGAACACACATATTTCTATCTTTTCCATCTCCTTTCCATCTCCATATCTTCCAAATAAAATTTTATATAAATTAATATCTTGTCTATTTGTATAAATGCGTTAGTTATAGATAGAACACGCGGAACGTTCTATACATCTATATATACATATATGTATATACGAATATATGGTGTCAATCTATTTTTTGCACGCGCGTGTCATCTTTCCTAGGAATCTAACAAGAATCTCTGATAAAAGCTACCTGAATTGTTTCATTTCCCCAACACTCTCACCATGTATTAGTAACTCAGATAAGGTGATTCGATGAAATGCCACCGAAATTCTCAATAAACTGGAGAATTTCGCACGTTTCTGATAAGAATGGCTGAGAGGGGCAGACAGATTTGTTCCCAGTGGGCGGCGTCATTCGAAACGTGAAGGTTAAACAAACAATCGCAAAAAAAAAAAAAAAAAAAAAAAAAAAAAGAAAATGAATTAAAATTGAAAAAATAAATAAAAATATAAACAAAATATTTTCGCCTTTGCCAATGTCAAAAAACTTGCGCAACAATTTTGGGCACGCCCACAAAAAAAAATGTTGCCCACGCACTTAGTTCAAGCAGCGAAGACAAACGGCGTTAATTTCTTAACTATTTGCAAGAGCAGAGCCTCAGCGAGGGTTGCTCAATCACTTGCGCAGTCATTGCAGCAATACAAATGTTTAATTAATTTTTATTGTTTATTGATGTTATAGTCGAAATTGCTCTCTAAGAATGTGTTACGTGTTTCGTTCCAAAAAATGTATTAGAAAATTAAATAAAATTTTAATTAAACTCGAACAATCAATGGATGTTTGCGATCAGCTCACAATCTAAAAACATTGCAAAAATAATTATATTTATTATCAGGCAAGAGCAAAGTTTGCAATTTCTACAATGTATGAATGGACGGGTCGTGACGTTGGTGCTTGACAAGCAGATATCCAGAGAATCCAAAGAACAGCGCACTTGATAATTCATTATCGTTATGATATGTATTCTCATTAGAGCAATGTCGTTAGTTATTGTCATTATTATTTTTACTTTCTTTGCAATCTTTATTCTTTTTAAAGTTTTCTTTACTCATTTTATTGTTAAGTGTTTTTCGTCACTTTGGTTTTTCTATCTCTTATGTCCTAATGTAATGTAATAATGCAAGTCAAACTACTCTAAGATATCATTATCATATATTTTTTATATATTTCAAGTTTCCTGTAGTATTACAGTAGATAGAAAATAGTCTATCTTATCATAGTTCAACTATATCAGTGTCTATTAGCTGGCTGGTCTATTTAATGGGGGTATTCTCCCAGCGCGTTAGTATGAGATATTATTGACTAACTCAGGTTCTTCATTACAATTTATTAGGTTATATGAATAATAATAAATAACATCTAAGAGGGATTTTCATAATAATAACTGAAATATATGTTTATTTAATTATTTCAATTCATTGTGAGGTCCAGCTATATTTAAAATATGGGTATAAATAAAGTAGTCATATGTTATGATAATAATTCTTTTTTATTTACTCGTATTATCTATAAATTTTTAAATTTGCTTACCAAAGAGAAATACGAATTAAATCGTTTCTTCTCTTTTAACTCAGTTTGTGAATAGTGTTTAGCAATGTCGACGATTTCAATGGAAATACACTTGTACAGTGTTGCAAAATTGCTAAGGTCGCAAGCGAGGGTCGCCACATAAGTTAAATGCATAAATATGTTAAATATATTAAGTTACTCCATAATGCGTGCGCGTTTTATTTATTTTGATAAGGTTTATTTTATTAACCAGTTGCTGGCAAATTGGCAACTACACGCGTCTTGGCCAAGTTAACAAGCATATGTTGACTATCTGTGTATATGCTGAAGAAATCAAAAGTGAAACCCCACTAACGTGAACAATTCCATAAAAACATGAAGAAAAACAACGAAAAGGAAAAACCGAAACCAAAAATATGTTGGCGAAAGAACTTCGCCTCGCTTGACGGCCCTAATTGTCTAATGGTTGCGCGACAGAGTTAAGGCCCAAAGCCTGCCAAGCGACACGCTCACAATTTTTGTCTCAAATTGCCAAAGCGCAATTTGTCGCCAAATGGCAAAATGAAATATACAACAACAAATATATTCCAGAAAGCCGTTTGGCAATTGCCTTCTTCGAGAAATGTTTTATAAAGTCCATTGACAGCGCTGGCAGCAGACTTAGTCGCAATGTTCGTCAGCAATTGGAAACTACTCGGTCTGTGCCTCTACCTGAGCCTGGAGCTGGGCTCTGCGCAAAACGCCAGCCATGTCGTCTGGGAGCCAAGTAGGAATACGAGTAAACGTGAGGTGACGAATCGATTGGATTACGCTGGCACCAACATCGCCAAGAGCTATGATCCACCGCCGGAATTCTATCGGGGACCGGGCAGTACCATCACCAGTCCAGCTTCCAGTTCCATCTCTAGTGCGGGCACGTCGGTCTTGGGTGGCGCCCAGCTGGGCAGCGTGGGTGAATCGCTGAGTGAGGCGTACAACAAGTGGAAGCAGAGCGCCGGACAGCACGATCGCATCAGCGTGGGTATGTAGCAGAGTTGTGAACAGAGAAACAGAGAGTGCAGCCACTCACTCATACCAAACCACTCGAGCAGGTCACTTTGGCGGCGGAGCAACGCAGACGGCGCACATACAAACACCACATGGACATGCCAGCTACGCCTACGAGGGACATCCCTATGAGTACGCCGGCGTAGGGGCTGGCCATGGCAGCTATTATGGCGGGAGCAGTGCCGAGACGGGAGTTCCCTTCGATGTCTATGGCTCACGGCCTGTGCATGGCAGCCATCATCACATCCACTATCCGGGGCCCAGTGCAGGCGGCGAATACGCCTACTTGGAGCCACACGAACTGGCCACCCACAAAGGGCATCCGGAGCTGTCACAGAAGGCGCTGCTAGCCAAAAGTTTTCTCATTCCATTAGCCAGCGCTGCGGTCCTGGGCATTGCCGCTGCTTTGGTCAGTAACCCGTTGCTGCTGCAGCTGGGCACCGTTTCGGGCTTAGGTGGCGGATTCGTGCCGGCTGTGGGTAAGCGCAAGAGGCGCGCGCTACGAAAAGCCTATGCAGCACATAAATAGCGGATTTAAAAAAAATACATAAACCAATAATATAACTCGTCGAAATGCTCGCAAGATCAACAATTAACAAAAACTATTTAATTTCCATTAACTATTTTTCGTTTAAGTGCATTGGGTTATTCATTTTCAAATTTGGCAGCTAAAGTGCCTTATACTCCCATACTCTTATACATCATAACATAAGTGTTATCGTTGCAACAGCGCGATGTTAATTAACAGAAAACTGTTAGGTAGGAGCAAAAGCTGTTAGATTTGAATTTCATTTATATTTTCCTTGTGTCAGTACGTAAATATTGCCTAAGTGAAACTAAAATAAAAACTTAAATATATATTATATGCGATTGAGTCTATCATATACGAGCCCTTTAAGTTAACTAAAATAGGCATCACGCTTCTGGGCCACAACTCATTTAACGCTCAGACAAACTTCATATGACAAAAAAAGAAAAAGCGAGAAAAGAAAATGCAACAAATGTAGTCGTTCGGGTAAAACGCGAATGGAAACCATAAGTACAATAATTGAAGAAAATGTCAGCTACACACGATGGCTACGTGACTTAATAATGCCCCATGGCGTCCCATAATAACTGCCGCAACGTGTTGCTCTCTTTGCCAGCTGGTGGCTGGGCGCATCCGTCCCTGAGTTGCCTTCTGCTTCTACTTCTCATTGACCATCTCATATCATCATTAAGTTTATATGACTTGGCTAACATAGGCTCCAGCTCCAGCTCCAACTCCAACTAAAACTACAAATACAACTGCAATGCTAGCTTACTTACTAAATTTAATTGGTGGAATGTTGTCAGATGGATTTAATTGGGTTGAGGTTCATCTCGTAACTGTCAATGTCATATTTTCTCAAGCTTGAACTTGACTCAAGCGCTGCAAATAGCGATCTTCAAATTAACTAAATGTGGGAATGAGTTGGAGCTCTTTTTGACAAAGATTAGGCGAAATAAAATATAAAATATACTATAGATTACGATGGGGTTTCGTTTCTAATTGTTATATCCATCAATTATATAAATTCTGTAATGGAAAAGAATAGCATAATAATAATTATTAAATGTATTAGAAAAAATTAATTACAATTCAGCGTGAAACGAATGGTTTTAATAAATAACA